CTGAAATTGGCATCACCCCTACATCTCTCTTACGGTTACTGTTTACATAGTGTATCTTTTTTTTTCTTTTTGGACAGGATTGGGATTTGAACTCAGGACTTCATGCTTACAGAGCACTTGAGCTACACCTCCAGTTTATTTTTGCTCTGGTTTTTTTTGGAGATGGGGTCTTTCAAACTGTTTGCCCAGGGTGGCCTTGAACCACAGTTCTCCTGATTTCAACCTCCCAGGTGACTGGGATTACAGATGTAATTCCAGGGACCTGGCTCCTTTTTATTTTTTAAAATCCAAGTTATATCTCTTAATACTGATCATATAGTTGGATCTTGATTTTTTAAAAATATAGCTTGACAAAATCTGCTGTTTAATTGGATTGTTTAATGTGAATGAAGGTATCATCAGGACCATGCTGTCTCTGAGGCACTAGAGAGGAATCTGTTCTATCCTCTTTGGACATTCCTTGGTTTATACATGTATCACTTCAATCATTAATGTAGACATGATGTTCTCTTTGTATTTTGTCACATTGTGGTCAAGTTTTCCCTTTTCATTGGAATGCTGACATTCCTATGAATTAGGATCCATTCTAATGAGTTTGTTTTATTTTATTTTGCTTATTTATTTACATCCTAATGACTTTGTGGTTTTTTCATTTATTTATTTAATTTTATCTTTTTAAGGACAGGATCTTGCTGCATAGCCCAGGCTGGACTCGAACTTGTAATCATCCTGCCTCAGCCTCCTGAGTACTGCAATTTCTACCTCCCTCCCTCCCTTACTTCCTTCCCTTTTTTCTTCCTTCTTTCCTTTCTCTCCCCCCACCCCCTCAGGGTGATGTGGATTAAATCCAGACCCTCATGCATGCTAGACAAGTACTCTGCCATTGAGCCATATCATTCATTCTTTATTATTTTGAAAAAATTGACTGGTTCTTTAGTAACACATAAATTGAATGAATAAATTTTACTTTGTTTTATATTGCTTTTTTGGTTTGGTCTATTTGGGCTTTCTATTGAGTCCTTTGTGAAATCAACTTTAGTGATGTAAAATGCACATAGATGAGAATGTATCAATTGTAAATATAAATTTTTATTATTTTTGATAGATGCACTATATTCTTTTTAAGTCTTCTTCCAGTTTTTTATGATAAATTTACTATTTTAATCAGTTTTAATTATGCAGTTCAGTGTCATTAAATACATTCATAAAGCTGTACACCCTTTACTACCATAGCTTTTTCCATCTTATGAAACTGAAACTATACCCCTGAAACAGTAACTTCCATTTTCTCCCTTACCAAGTCCCTGGCAACCACCATTCTACTGTCTACCTCTTAATGATTTTGACTACCGTAGGTACCACACTTGTGAAGTCATTCAATATTTGTCTTTTTATTTACTGACTTATTTCCCTTAGCACCATGTCCTCAAGATTCATCCATGTTGTAATACATGTCAGAATTTCCTTTCATTTGAAGGCAAATAATTTTCCATTATATGTATATAGCACATTTTGCCTATCCATTCATCCAATGGTGGATACTTGGGTTGCTTCCATGATTTAGCATTTAGCTATTGTGAGTAATATGTCTATAAACATGGGTATACAACTATCTCCTTGAGACCTTATCGTCAGTCCTCTTGGTTGTCTAGCCAGCAGTGTGTAGTAGGATCATATGGTAATTCTATTTTTAAATTTTTGAGGAATTTCTGTACCGTTTCCTATGCCATTTACATTTTTACCAACAGATGGGTTTTACCTTCTCTGTATCCTCTGTAATACTTGTTATTTTGTTTTTTTTTTAATCAGGTGATTGGATTATTTATTCAACCTAACACTCCCTACAACAGTCCACAGTGATTAAAAATTGCTGTTTCTATCTAGCAGATATTGTACTGAAGCTCAGAGATCAGATACTGTCTCAAATTCTTGATGTAGTCCACTATGTCCTGCCTAACTGCACATTCTTTTCTTGTACACATTTCCTTTCACACTAAGCACTTGAGCTAGGCAATCATTTAATTTCTTTGAAGAAACATTACTCATATCAGAGCATTTGTGTTTTCTCCCTGTTTTTAGTCTTTTCTACATTTTCCACCTGTTTCCATTGGAGAGTGACTAGTCTTCTGTAACACTTTAGCTTACAAGTAACACTTTTCAGCAAAACTTCTGACCTGGTTCAGAACAAGTACAGCATCTTGTTTATATCACTTATCAATCACAGTTAGAACTCAGTAATGAATTGAGTTCTCTGGAGTATAAGGTCCATAAAAGCAAGAACTCCATCTTGTTTGTTTCTGAGTCTCCAGATTCTGTTAGAACAGTTGTTTTGCTAGGTGTTCAATAAGTATTTGTTGGGTACTAATTTGTAGAGATATCACTCATGTTTTTATTCCTTATACCCTAAGCTTATTTTTGTCTAATTCAACATGTTTGGAGTATCAGTGTATTTCATGGTAGTTTTTGTAGTACACGTACCCTCCTTCTAGGTAGCCTGGGGATTATATCCTGAGGTAGCTACTGCAAACAGAGGTTTTTTTTAAAACTGTAATATGTTTTATTTCATTGGAAAAGTCTCTATCAAGAGCCAAATTTGATTCCCTTAAAGAAAACATTTTCCCCAGCTTAAATGAAAGGGAAGAGGGAGGAAGGAATATACTGCCCTGTCCTAGCACTGACAGTCTTACTGCTTACTCTGAGGGAGCTGCAGGGTGGCATGTACTTGTCATTACATCTGTGGTGGAAGTGTAAAATAGGAGGATGAGGTCCAAAAATGTGAGACCCTATCTCACATCATATCATCGTAGTAAAAAGGGCTGGAGACATGGATCAAATGATAAACACCTGTCTAGCAATTGTGAAGTTCTGATTTCAAAACCCAGTAGCACAAACAGACAAAAAATCCTGTGCTTGTCTTCTGACCTGGTCTTTAGAGCAGTTGTAACACAGACTGCTGAAATCCTGAGAGCTGTCACAGTAGTTGTTTAAAAATGTGTGACCAAATAAGATGCACAAGGAATGGCTCTCTGTTAGTTACGGGCAGCTAGTTAAATAGGCGGTAATGCTTCAACTAGAAAGAAAAATGCATATTTTATCAATAAATAGTTCTAATACCTAGAAAAACATCTCAATTCTGGGGGCCAAAACTTGCTCCTTATTTATTTTCTCAAAGTCATTAAGGGAACTCAGCACTGACCAGAGAGTGGAAGAGAAACAGGTCATCTGCTCATTTCTTAAAAGACATAGTGGAGAGTAACTGGGGTCCAAAAAACAAGACTTAGTTTTGAGTTAATGCCAGCTCTTCCCAAATTCTGAGAGATTTGGAAAGCTTGAACCAATGTCCTGTGTTCCTGAGAACCAGGGTTTACAAGTAGCTGATCTGAGTGGTTTGATGTTATGATACCAAGGTGACATATTTGTTCTTATTCCCACTCTCAAAATCTAGATGGATAAGGGATTAGGTAGAAGACAGTATGAAGTAAATTAGGTGAAAAGGAAAGGTTATATACAGAGGGCACTTCACTTAGCTTCTTGGCCTCAAAGAATCTCTTGAGGTAATGAATATTCCAGATGCCAGTAAGGATGAGGGTGACTTTCTAAGTGATGGACCATCACAGGACGCTCTGGTTGGTGCTCTTACTGGTCAGATAGAAGCCTCTTCACTATACCTCTGGTAATCCTGCTTCTTCTGGATCTTTCCAGTTGATCAGGTAACTGGCAGACACAGAGATGCAGCTCTTTCACCTTGTTCTTAGCAGCAATCTCAGGGTTAGTTCTGATTGCTTCCCAATCAGAATGTCTAGGTGTACATGAGATTTGCTACCAGCAAGGAGAGCCATTCTAGTGGAATTGGAGTGCAGGCAGATGTGATGTTCACCAGGGCATGTGGGAGGTGAATGTGAAGTGGTCCTTGGAGCTTGTGGGGATAATATCATCTTGCTGTGGGGTCATTCACCTACACGTGTATGCCCAGGCCAGGGGTTGAGGGCTGGGAAACCACGTTCTGCTTGTCCCACATGTGAGTTCAGTATTGTTGATAAACCTCTTGTTGGAGAGTTCCTGAAAGAAGCAACATTTCTCCATCTTGCTGATGTGGAAGTAGAGCTCATGGGCACCTGCAGTGCATATTGTGGGCAGCAGTTGCCCCTTTGACCTCATACCGGCCATTGCACCTCAACCCTGTGCATGTGTGTGTGTGAATGAGCACTACTCTGCATCCAAGTGAGTTTTTGAGAGCTGTTTTATCTTGAGCATACGTGAGCATTTTGCTGTTTCTTAGTATTTTTATGTTTGCTAAACAAACCAAAAGAGCCTAAAACTGCTTACCATGGAATAAAATAGACAATTAAATATTTCCAGTTATTTCAGCCAGTCTTCATTTGACATTGTTTGAAATCCACTTGGTATTGCCATCCAAAAACCATGGTTCCAGAAATATATATAGTTTTTCAAACATTGTTAGCAAAAAAATGTACCAAGTGAACAAATGGGCAAAATATGAAGAGGCATTCCCTTTGAGGTTGGTGTAGTAAATGTTTTAAATTTACCTATTTTAAGAATAAGGTAAAATAAGACTGTGAATGATGTACTATTCCCGCTAGTTTTAATGATGTTTCCTGAATGACTGCATGCTAAAACAAAAGCACATTTTTAGTGCAGAAAGTGGTTACATCTATGATGAGGTCTATAGATGAATATTGTCCTCCTCCTAACAGTGTGAATAAGCATGGATGGGTTGCCAGGGATACAACAGCTTTACATATGTGTGGCACAATTCTGAGGAAAATCCCAACTTAAGTGAATTGGCTTTATTTTTTACTGTATATTTAAGAAAGATTAGGCTTTTTTTTTTTTTACTTATGATATTTACTACCATAATGAATTTGTTGAAGAACCGAATTTTAGAATTCCTGGAGATATTAATTTGTTAGAGTTTTAATAAATTCATATTTTATATAATGTTTAGTACCATATGTATTAATTATTTATGTGTATAACAGGCATCTCAAAGTTATGTTGACGAATGTTCTATGGACGGATTTAGGACGAAAATTCAGAAAGACCCTACCTAGAAATGATGCTAATTTATGTGATGCCAACAAGGTGCAATCAGACTCATTGCCTTCGACATCTGTTGACAGCATAGAGACATGTCAAAAATTAGAACCTCTTCACCAAAGCCTTAATTTATCTGAAAGGTATGTTGTTCAGTATTGATTTTGTTCAACTTACCACATTTGAATCCAGTATCCTTAAAAATAATATTGTTGGAAATGATCTTGAAGAAGCTATGCATACACAGAGGTGTTCCTCTATAAAGCAAATCTTAAAGCTTTCAATCTTTTTTCTTTCTCCATAGTAAAGCTAGGTAGATCTTGTTTTTCTTTATTCTTTTCCTCTCTTTTATTAGTGTATATTAATTATACAAAGGGGTTTCATTGTGATATTTCTATACATGTATATAATATACTTTGATCAAATTTACCCCCTCTATTACCCTCTCTTGTCCCCTGTTCTCCCATTTTGGACAATTTATAATGTGTTTCGTTATTCTGTTTTGATACATGAGGGTCATATATCAAAGAATGATTAAAGTATTTTGATCATATTTACCGCCTTCACCTAAAGCTTCCAGTCTTTATTTATAAAGTTAGATGATGGTCCTTAAGTGGATTGAGATGGAATTATATTTAAAAGCAAGCATCCTTACTACATTTAACTTATTAATAATTTAATTCATGTATACTTCTTTTTAAGAATTACTTATATAAAATGAAGATACATGTACATATATACATATAAGTATATATGTGTATTCATGTTTGGTTGAACATATATTTTTATTTTCTGCATCTTTAATGTACCTTTTAAACATTATTTAACCTGGGTCCTCACTACTTTTGTGAGCTGTTTTATATTTTATGTGCATTTTTTACATAAAAAAAAAGGAGATGATAAGTTATTGCTTCCCAGCTTTAAATAGCAAATATTTAGTTTAAGTTTGATGAAAAGAAGACCAATTTTATTTTGTCTTTTTTTTTTTAAGACCAAAAACTAGGAATTAGCTCTAGGAATTTGTGATATAGAATATAATACTTTTATATATCTCCATTTACAGTTTTAGCTATTAAAGTAGTTTGTTTTCAATTAGAATAACCTTCCATTAGCTAGACAGTGCTTTGATAATAAGGTCTGTAAACTGCACAATAGGTAAGTGGTTTAAGCCAAGACCCAAATAAAAACTGCTAACTTTTAACAGTTATTTTTTTAAATAAAAGTAAAACTTTATCAAAATACGTAAGCATAATATATTATACATTCATTTTTAAAAAGGACACTACTTTAAAAAATAATCATAAAAAGTTTAATGAGCCAAGGGTGTTGGCATGCCTGTAATCCCAGCTACTTAGGAGGTGGAAGCAGGAGGATCACCAGTATGAGGCCACCCAGGTAAAGTTAGTGTGACCCTATCTCAAAGTAAAAACAAAAGGACTGGGAGTGGGGGGGCGAGCATAGCTCAAGGATAGAGTGCTTGAAGTGCAAGGACCTGACTTTAACCCCCAGTACCACCAAAAAAATAAAATAAAATAAATACAGAGACTTTCCTGTTATATCATATTTGATATAAATGTTCTAAAACACTGTGAATCTTGGAGTCAGACAGCATCGTATCAATAATTTATGAAGCAGCTTGCTCTTCTCCTGGATTCTAGCAGTCTTTCTCTATGCTGTGGGAAAGCTAATCTCTAACTGTCCTGACATCTAGATAAAGGGGCTAGTGAAAAGAATTACTTTAGAGATACCTTGACTTATTTGAAAGGTATCTTTAACTCTCCTCTACATAATAACCTCCTTATCATTTCTCTCATCCCATGATTATCCTTTTCCCGATTAGAACAGTATGGTCTTCCATTCTCTCTGAAGAATAGGTTTTTCCTCACCAATAATTATTAGCACCTAAATTAGGTATTCATGAGATTTAAATATAAAGAGTTCTAGTAAGATTTTAATTTTTTTCTTTCTCTGTGTAGTTACTAGAGTCCAGCTAATCCAGACCTCTTTCCAGAGTTCCAGGTGTCTTATAAACTCAGTTTGTTCCAAAGTGAGAATATAATCTTTGTTCTCAAGCTTGTTATTTTTATATCCCCTCACTGTCGAATGATTTCCCCATATATTCAGTTCTGTAAATTAGACGTGGGAATTGTCCTTTACTGTTGTTTTTCTTTACCCTTTATATTCCACCATTTGCCATACCTAGTTATTTTTATTTCTAGATCTTGAAATATTTTTTAATTTTTTGCCAGTACGGCAGTCTAAGCCCTAATAATTTTTTTGCCTTTATTATGATGGTAGTATCTTGATTGGGTTTCCTATGCATAGTCCTTTTCTTCTTGGCTCATTCCAGATATTTTTGTTTAAAAGTATTCATTCTAAAAGTCGGATCTTGTCACTCACTAGTTTAACATCTTTCTGTGGCTTCATGCAACCTTCATCATAAAGTTCAAACTCCTTCGCTTACTTAGCACATAAGGCTCTCAGTGGTTTCCTCTTTGCCTGTCTCTATCTGGCCTTCTGTCTGTCCCCTCCTCTGCTTTTGCACTGTACTTCAGACTTAGAGATTTGTTGGTAGCTCCCTGAATATACAGTATTGCTTTATATATTCTTTTTCTCTTTTCTTAGAAGCAGTCTTTTCTTTTTTATTGATTTCTGTTGGTTTGACTTTTAGCTCCTACCTCATCTTCTTTGGGGCCTTCCCTGATTCTGCCTTACATGTAAACATTTCATCCCTTTGTCATCCATAACAGTCTGTTCATGTATCATAGCATTCATCATACTATATTGTGATTTTTAGTTTCTTTGCTTCCCTGACAGTAAACTTCATGAAGGTGGGGACTACATTTTATTTTTTATTTTTCCTTTGTTTCTAGACTACTTGGCAACTACTAAATAATAAGTGTTTGCTGAATAAAAGAAAGCAGTTTCTTCTGACCAGAGGTACACCTTCAGACTCTGACTGATATATATTTTCCTCCATCAGAAAAAATTATATGCTCTGTAATTTTGCTGACAGTCAGGAAAAGAGATTGCAGGTCTCAAGGAAATAGGAGGACTCTTTTGGATGTGACTTTGGATAAATGTGTTCTATCTGACACTTGCTGTTTGAAATAGGAGACGTGTGTCTTTTTCAATCTTTGCTTAAGTTTACCATGAGGCCTTTGTCTTATCTTCATTTTTACTTCACCAGGAATCACTTATTTCAGAAAGATAAAAAGGGAGAAAATGTACTTTTCCTTTTTAATTTTATCTTTAAATGTTGTCTTAAAGTTTAACTGTTGAGTAAACCAAAATTACTCATTCACATTCAGTCACAGAAGTAGCATTTTGTTAGGCATTTTATTTGCATTATGGGATCTAAAGGTAGTGAACTTTTGACCTTTTGATTTCTAGATAGATTGAGAAGAAAAATAGAAAATACGTGGTTCAAATCAATCTTGTTAAGAATTGGAAAAAAGAAAAAAAAAAGAATTGGAAAAAAGGATTAAGTAGGCCAAGTGCAATGGTTCATACCTGTAATCCTAGAATCCTAGCTACTTGACAGGTAGAGATAGGGAGTATTGTAGTTTGAGGTCAATCCAAGCAAAAAATTTGAGAGATCCCCATCTCGATGAATAAAAACTGGGTGTGGTGGTTTGCGCCTGTCATTCCATCTATGTGGGAGGCATAAATAGGAGGATTATGGTCTGGGCTGACCCAGACATGAATGCAAGACCTTATTCAAAAAATAGCTAAGGCATAAATGGCTGGTGGCATCACTCAAGTGGTAGAGTGCCTGCTTAGCAAGTGCAAGGCTCTGGGCTCTGATTCAAACCCCAGTACCACCCAAAAAAAAAAAAAAAGGATCAAGTGTGTGAATGCATGTTTATCTAAAAAAAAAAAAAAAGGCACAAATAGCCTAGTTGTTCTCTTTTGAAAGGAAGTTTTAACATTTTACTATAGGTTTTATCCCCTATGTGTTTCACATCTGTTTTCCTGAGAGAAATTATAAGTCTTGGTCAGTATGGCAAGAAGGAGATTATTAGGACACATATGTAAGACTTTTGAGAAAATAAACTTTGTTTCTCCCACTTCATCAATTGACCCCAGAAATTGTAGAGAAATGTAAGATATGATATATACTCATTCCATTACAAGTGTCACTTCCTGGTACTTAAAGTTTCACTAAATTGTATAAATACATTTATTCATTCTTTCTTAACCTATACATTTAAAAAAATGTCTCAGTGGCAAGGTCCCAGAGCCTGGGCCAGCCTTCCCTCTTTCCTTCCTTAAATTTGTTTTTGAGTGGTCCTGGGGCTTGAGCTCAGGGCTTCATGCTTGCTAGGCAGGCACTCAGCTAATTAAGACAGTTTAGACATTATGAATTTAGTTATCACTTTATAGATTTGTATTCTGAAAGGCTATCACACAAAGCTCTTTGTTTCCTCAAGGTACCCAAATTTGGATATGTTGTCTGTAGGCGATAGAAGGTGCTTGGACTATTGCTGTGTGTTATAAAGCGCTAAGTATAGTATAGTCAATGCCAACTGTTCAATTATAGACATTTTAAAAAAAGTATTATTTTGGTGACTATTGCAGAAATAAACTGACAGTTAAGCACTGTTTGAAAGGGTAGTTTATAACTATGAGCAAGACTTCAATAATATGAAAATTAAAGTGGATTTCTAATTACTATATACCTCTTATGTGCTTGGAATTGTCTAATTGCTTTAAATCTGTTATTTCATTTAATCTTAGCTGTATAAGTTAGATATTATCCTTCCCATTTTAGAGATGAGGTGATCAGTTGCTCAAAGGAAGAAATTACGGTAAGTACCTTTCCAAGAATATGTAGTTATTAGATAGTGAAATCAGACGCTTAGCTTATGTTTTTTGACTCCCAAGTTCTTGCTCTTAATCCTGTGTTACACTGTTTTTCTTTACATTTTCACCCTTCTGAATTTAATTTTTCATATCAGTAAAGTAGGACTTGGACTTCACTGCATACTTTATATGTTATCTAATTCTACTTCTTTATTTTTCCTGTGTGATTTGTTCACATAGTAATAAAGTGCCTTCTAAAGGGAAGATACACTATTATGGATGTGCTGAGATAGTGTCTTGAATCTTCTGATAACTTCAGACGCCCTCAAGGTCTCTGGCACTTCAGGGATGCAGGTTCTAGTGCAGCTTGATATGTAATATTTATGAATGGTTTTTGGTCAAATTTTGAAAATTTTATCTTCTAGGAAAGACTGTTAGTTCTTTGTTCAACTTAGAAGGTGTCATTTATCCTTCAGGTTTCCTTTATCTTTTTTTTTTTTGCTTTTTCTTCAAAATCTATCAGCAAAACAAATCATACAAGCATGGAATGATAACTTATTCAGAAGAAAATTCTAACTGAGTAATGTTCCCTTTTCCTGCTGATATTTGCAGTACTTTTTTGGTCAAATTATTCTTTTCAATACTTGTACAGGATTAATCTTCTGTTGACTTCAGTCCCCCTGTTTTGGAGAAGAATCTTACTTAGAAACTTAACATTTTATTTATTTATTTTTTGAAACTTAACATTTGAAAACATACTTAAATTATGCCATTATCAGTCATTTAATCAGAGATACTAAATAAAGTTGACATTTCTTTGATGTGTCTTATATGCCACAAATTTTCTCTTGACTTGAATACTATAGTTTTCAGATTTTTTTGGTACATAAAGAATAACATTTTAGAATTTAATAATGATAAAGGACCATTAAAAGAGTTACTAATTCTTAAAATGAGTTATCAGTGTAGTGTATCAGATTCCTTCATCTTTTAAAAGTGAATAAAATTTTATTTACACTAGAATATTTATTTGGAAAAATGATCCTAACTTGAATAAAATTCTCTCTGCTAATATTGAAGTATTTTTTCTAAAGTATGAAGAACCACAGTTGAGTTTCCTGTAGCTTCATTTCTGAGTAGTACACAGTGTGAAAGTAGATAAAAGGGATCTTGAGATTCCTTACTGGCTCTTTATTCCCCGCCTCCTTTCCACTTCAGACCTAACTTTTTTTTTTTTAACGGCAGTACTGGGGTTTGAATTCAGGGCTTCACACTTGCTAGGCTTCACACTCCACCTCTTGAGCTGGTCTGCTACTGCAGATCTAGCATTTTGTATGGACAGTTCTGTGAGGCATCAAGTATACAAAGCAGACAATACTGTATAGGATCCTTAGAGATTTAAATTGTATAAGGAAGATGAAAAATTTCTCTGTTCTACTTCCTCACAATTATAGGGTGTACTATGTAACAGACTTCCTTTCTCTTTATTCTTCCTTCATAAACTCTTAATTTCAAGGAGTTGTATTTAGCCTTTGTTTTTAGATCATAGATACTGTTTGATCATTGGAACACTTTTTATGGTGGTTATGTTGAAAGTGGATGTTATCAAGCAGCTGTAGAAGAGCTTAGCTATCTGCAATGTTTTGCAAGTTAATATTGAGGATATGGTATTATGGTATAAAATAACCCTTCCCCCCCCCCAAAAAAAAAAGATAATAGGTCCAAGTTCTTCCACTAGGAAGAGGTACTTATGTTTGTGCAAATCATTAACTTTTCTAAGCTGTGAATTCTCCATGTTTAAGACAAAGAACTTAAAGTTTTCCTAAGCTTGTAAGTTTTATACTGTCTGGAACATAGTGAAAAGAACATATCTTTATATAGTGAAAATATTCAAGATACCTCTGAGTACAACAAGTGTAACAAAGTCTAATGTAGTTCATATTTTTACTCAAACAGAAGTACTCTTTCCCTTTCTAAGTATGTCTCTTGTTTGCACAAAGTGTAAAATATTGCTAGCCATGTATTGATAATTGTCAAGAGAAATATCTAATAAAGAGGTAGGAACAGTTTAAAAATACAGCACCAAACCAGGCACATTAGTAAGTACCTGTAGACTCAACTACTGCAGAGGCTGAGGCAGGAACATCACTTGAGCCCAAGAGTTTGGGGCCAGATTAGACAATATAGTGATAATCCTTTTCTTTAAAAAATATAATAGCAAGGACTAAGGGGAAAATCACAGTAATTTGGCTTCAGCCAGTCAAATAAGGGTCAAATAGTGATCTTTCTCTTTTTATCCCTACCACCATGCTAGCAATAAACCCAGAGCCTCACACATGCTGAAAAGTAGTAGTGTGAGGGCATCATTGTAGTGTGGCAAAGTACATCAGTTGTTGTTCATAGTAGCAGTTCATTAATCAAGAAAAGAGTGCACTTTTCTCTAAGACACCAGGCTTATATAGTACATTTGATTATGGACCCCACCAATTTAAGGAAGTTTGAAGCTTTAAAAATGTACTTTAATTTAATAAAGATTTAATTTAAATTTATTGACTCTTTTCCTGATGTCATTACAATATTAGTGTGTTTATGTATATGTATGTATGTACATATATATAAATATAATAGCTAGGATATGTGCTGTTTCATTTATGGAATCTGGCATTATACTAGATGCAGTCTGAATTGATGACTCTCTTGTTAGATACAATGTTTGTCATTTGCCAGTTACAAATATGTACTTAACTTATCAAGACCTTTCTATTAAATGAGAACAAAGATTTCTTGAATTTATTTGTAGTAATCTGTGTTTTTAACACTGGAGAAGTGTTTTTTTTTTTTTTTTGAGAAATTGGTTAAAATTTCAAGCCCTGTAGCAGCATCCGTTAGTACAGTTAAAGACATGCTAATTTGTGCTATAATTTCTAAAAAACAAGTACTTCCAGAAACAAAAAGATCATATGGATATAAAATTTTGAGTATTCATTGTTGATTTCTATAGTGGTATTGTTCTAATAGCTTGCTTGTGCTCAGTTGACCATGTTTGAAAATTCAGCTTCCTAGAGTACAATTTTTGCTGAAAACTCTAGTACAGTGTGGTGTTTGTTATTTTGTGTGACAGGATACCCAGAGTTATATTGACGAATGTGCTGGGAACGGAGTTAGGAAGAAAATACATAAAGAGCCCACCTGTAACTGAGGCCAGTTTGAGTGGTACAGACAACTTGCAATCAGAACAGCTTTCTTCATCATCCGATGGCAGCCTAGAATCTTGTCAAAATCTAAATCCTCACAAGAGCTGTTTTTTCTCTGAAAGGTACGTTTAGTGATAACTTTACTCAAAATATTTGTTTAAACCCTCCTCTATCCTTTCCCCACAGATATGTTATTACTAAATAACAGGTAAATTTTGCTGTGATGGCTCATATGACTTTTCGCCCCTGGTGGCTGTAATAGCTATTGAAACCAATAGTCCATGGCAAATAATCAGTTTAAAAAGTACTGGTCACTATTCCTGTGTTTTTAAAAAAAATGAATGCAGACACTGAGTGAAAATTTAGTTGCCTATTTTAGTTCATCTGTTTGGTGTAATTGAAATCCATTCCCTTGCCATCATTCTGTTCCTCCGTTCTTTTCTCTCCTATCCATTCCTCTATTTGCCCATATGACTTGTCTGTCCATTCATCTATCCTTATTCACTATATTTCCCGATTCTAGAACTGTCCCTAGTACTAACTGCTTAGTAAATATTATTGAATGGATTGCTAAATACATTCTTCACAAAAATGCTTGGAGATAACAGATTTCCAATAACAAATATGGCTTACTATGTTAATAAGAAACATGCAATGCTGAAGTGAGTTTTGCTTCACATACTAGGAGAGGATCCTGTGTGGACAGGAAAGAAGAAAGAATCTGTAAAAAAAGCTTGGGGATGACCAGTTAGTAAATTCTACTTTTTTATTTTCTTTGGAGTCAGATTCTCACTTCATAACCCAGCCTAGAACTCACGATCCTCCTGCCTTTGCTTCTCAAGTGCTGGGGTTACAAGTGTGTGCCGTCATGCCTGGCTTCTATTAGAGTTTCAGACTTTAATTTGCCATGAAATTTGAGGCTCCCCTTTTTACTTTTTGCTTTCAGCCTGTAAACTGAAGTGTTCTTGTATCAGTGAAAAATTGATATGGTCTTAATTCTCCTACCCCTCTCCTCCCTTAATTATCCAGAGGTAACTTCCAGTTTGTATTTTTGTTGTAAGCCTAATACATTAAGCATTTATAGTTTGTGTTTAAAAGCCCCATAAAAAATCTTTTCCATTTCTAACAAATACTTTCCTAAATTCCATTTATTTGTCATGAACTTCTGAGTTTTTCTTCTTTTAAAAAAAGTATTTTATGTTTTCACCTAGATTTTACTTAGTGAGTTATCAGTGATGATTCTAACCATATGCTTTGTTAGGTCACTGTATAAATTTGTTTTTCTTCAAAGTGAGAATTTCAATGACATACTTCAGTTACTAAATTTAATGTATAGTTGGAGATAATAGAAATGAGTCTATCACATTATATTAGAAGGTTTTTGCTTCTGGCTTCTCTACTAGTCCATGATCTCCTAAAGGAGAGTTATCATGCCTTACTTGCATAATCCAGTGCTTAGCTTGATAATGCTGAATTTTGTGCACTTGGGTTAATGTTTATGACATTTAACCTTGAGTTTCAGTTTCCTAAGTTGTGAAATGAGAAGGAATTTTGCATGTCCTTTCAACCTCACAAAATTGTTGTGTTCTCTCTGTTAAATCTCGCATGTGAGAATTCTTTGTGTGCATAAAATATTGTACAAATGAAAATGTTATTGAAGGTACTTTTTTGGAAGAAACTTATGATATGCTGCTAGCATGGAATTCAAATCATACCAGTGTACATTCATGCTGTAAGTAAAAAATAGTAATATTATGAGGATTTTTATGCAACTGTCAAACTGTAATCTGTATTTTCAGGCTTTATACCAGTCTGGGTCAAAGATTAATCACAGTAGGTATAAAATTTCTGCTGTTTCCAGAATGTATTCAGTGGGAACTGTAGCGCTCCTCAAGTCCTTCTAAATAGTAGTGAAATTTCCAGGTAGTTTTGATATGCCCTCTGAAAATGCATTCTCTTGCTGGCAGTTTCTTTGATTCTTACATTTGGAGTAAGCATAAACATTGTAGCCAGACACCTGATTCAGCTTTTATCTACACTGCTAACATACTAGCTTTCCTTGGCAGGTTACTTATATCTTTAAAACAGGGATAACAATACATACTTTTTGGATTATTGTACAGATTTAAGGAGATGACCTGTGTAAACTCCCCAATACAAAGCCTGGTAATTAATAAATAGTAATCATTATTTTTCTGCCTCTCTTATTCCTGCTAATTTACTAAATGCAGCTAAAGGCTATTGCTCTAGCAATCTGCTACTGCTATAGTAGATCATTTTTGAAAGGAGAAGCACATTGCAAGAATGGCCATACAATTACTTTGGTAAATATGCCCCAGAACAACTGAAAAGACAAACACAGAGTAGGCTCAGGATGGGACTCTTTTTGTGACCCACTTCTTTCACCATCTCCTCTCAATATCAGGGTGAATAAATAGAAATTGTTTAGATTTTTCTCAGGAGACATAATGTTTTTGACGTTATTGTGGAGAATGTGGTAAAGCTTACCAACTCTTATTAGGAAGACATGATGTCAAGTAGAAACATAGACTTTGTGGTTTGAGTAATCAGGATTGTGACTATAGAAACTGATGTCTCCTTTGAAAACCTAGCATTTGTGCTCTTAACAATGCAAATGAAAAATGTTATGTGAAGACTAAAAGCCTTACTTTACCCTTAACCCTGTCTAAAGCTGTTATTATTGATTATTATAGGCAACCTGAATGAAATTACGTAGGAAAAATCTTTTGTATCAGAGTACAATATTTATTACATTTAAGAACTAAATTATTCAGCTTTACATTAATCCTATACCAATTTTATACTAACCTTTATTAAGTCTTTAGTTTGAAAAATACTATGCCTATATCATCTCTTTTAGTATAGGCTTGAATTGCAGGTTGGGCAATTTGCTTAACTTTCTATGTCTTAGTTTATGTCATCTGTAAAATGAGTTAATAATAACTGGGTACGTTAGAGGAGTAAATGAAAAACATATCTGAAGTGCTATGTTGACTAACTGGTAACTCGCCATTTTCCCACCCCCTTGAACCCTGGCAACTGCCACTGTACTTTCTGTTTCTATGAATTTGACTATCCTGAGTATCTTATATGAGTGGAATCACAGTGCTTGTCTTTTTGTGCCGGGTTTATTTCTCCTAGAACTAGTGTCTCCAAAGCTCACCCAAGTTGTACCAGGTGTTAGATTGCCTTTACTTTTAAGATTAAATAACATTCCATTGTATATGCATATTAATATTTTGTTTGTCCATTCATCTGCTGATAGACACTTGGTTGCTTTCATTTCTTGGCAATTGAGAATAATAACCAGAGTAAACATGGGTGTACAAGTATTTGTTTCTTTGCTTTAAATTCTGTTAGGTAGGTTTCAAAAAAGTGGAATTGCTGAATCATATGGAAATTCTGCTTTTATTTTTTTGAAGAAATGTCATATTGTCTTATAGTTGTCTATAAATTTCTCTATCTCATCTAGTTTGTTGCCATACAGTTGTTCATAGTACTCTCTTGAAATCCTTTTTATTCCTGTAGCATCAGTAGTAATGTCTCCATTTTTTTTGATTTGAAAAAAATTTGAGTCTTCTTTTTTTTTTCTTAGTCCATCTAGCTAAAAGTCTTAGATACTTACTTCATGTTGTTCATTAAATTTCTTCATGTAGTCTCTCTGCTCATCTCTCTTTTATGTTGCTGGAACCTCCAAATGAGTTAGTTGGTCTGCTTTGATGCTGTCCTACAGGTCCCATGGGTTGTTTTTTTTTTAATTTAATTTTGTTTTTGTTCCTCAGACTTGACCATTTCAAATGTCTTCAAATTGCTTTTGAGTCCTTGTAATGAATTTTTATTTACAGTAAAATTATTGTCCCTTTTAGCTCCAGAGTTTCCTTTTTTCTGTCTCTCTTTTTATATTTCTATTTTGTTCATGTATCATTGTATTGACTTTCTCTAATTATTTTTCTTCTTTGAGAATCTTTAAGGCAAGTTGTTTTAAAGTCATTGTCTAGTAATTGTGCCGTATCACCTTTTAGGATTTTTTCTGTTGACTTTTTTTTTTCTCATTCAGGTCATACTTTTCTATTTTTTTGTATACCTTGAGATATTGAACAGTGTAATCTATAACGTAGTAAAGTGAGGAAATCAGATTTTTCTCCTTCCCCAGTGTTTGCTGGGATTTGTTGCTTTTTTCTTTTTCTTTTTATTTCCTTTAAATAATTGTATGGTCTTTTTGTCAGTGATTATTGGCAACGTTATAAACTTAATTTCATCTTGATCATTTCTGGCCTGTACTGTTGGTTGAGCTCTTGAGTTCAAGATCAGCCTGGGCAACATAGTGAGATGCCCATCTCAAAAAAAGAAAATCCTTTTCAATATTTGAATGACAAAATGCTTATTGCCTACTGTGGCTCCCACAATTTGAATGCAGACTGTTCCACTAATGTGCGTTACTACCCGTCTTGAAACTAGGGGGTAGAGGGTGGGTGTCTAATTCTATTATAGGAGCTGAAATTGAGCCATATTAATAGCAATTTACTGCCCAAGCCTTCACTTGAAAGTTGCAAACCTCTAATAGACCCCAGAGTTCTCAAAGAGTTGTATTAGACACCTTCTGCTTGTATAATTGTTATATAGGTGTGAGGATTGTAGGTGCTTCCTATTCCACCATCTTCCTGATGTTTCTTGGTATATAGTGTATTATGTTTTACTATGTGGCTATCCCTGATGTATTCCTAGGTATTGGATTTTTTTTTTAATGCTTTTCTACGTGATATTTTAAAAATGTGTATGTTATTGAGTAGTTCTGAAAATGTGATAATTGCTATGTAACATGTTCTGTTATAATGAAATGCTATAATTTAATAGTTTTATTTTAAACTTTTCATGGTTAATTAGTACTATAATAATTTTATTTTAAATTTTGTATTAAGTTAATTAGTACCATAATGAACTGTTCCTTTAATAATAATTCAATGTGTGAAATTATTGGGTATAAAAATTTAAATTATTCTGTGGCTATTCTGAGTACCAAATTGCTTTTCTGATGATTTTTATCAGTGTGTCATACATCCTAAGTGGTAGCATTAACAACATTTGGTATTATCATAACTTT